AGTCTGATAAAAGAAGAAATAACAGCATACATATAGACAAAAGTAAATAACAATTATTAAGTATCAATTCGTTCTGCCGAGTTTTTATAGAAGCTTTTTATGGCATCCCACGAAAGCTCAGTGAAGCTTTACGGCACTTTTATACTACGACGCAGAAGGAATTCGTTATACGAAATTAATGACGGCCAATGTTGCAAAATACAGCCTAAAGGTATTTATAAAACAAGGGAACATGTTTACGAGCAGCCGTAAAAATAGAAAATAAGTTTATTTATCAGTTTTATTTTTTAACAGGCTTTATGCATATTTCCATCAGACTACTAGACGCACGACTCTCGATACGCGCGTTTTAATTTTGTATATCAGTCGCGGCAGCGCCAGTGGAAATAATATGCGGCTCCATAAAAACAGCTACTTTTTAGAGCGGCTGCACACCTTTGACCAAACCATCGCACAACTGTTGAACGATTGTCGATTGTTTCGCCGCCCGTTCAACTTTTTAGTTGCACAACTAAAAATCGAGTAGTATGCGTACCTCCATATAAGCTCATAGGAACCAAAACGCAACTAAACAGTTGTGCGATAGTTTGATCAAAGATATACACGCTTTTAGATTTAAACTACATTGTTTAAAAAGTGAAAGTAAATAAATTTTTGTAATGTTACGTCATGTGTTTTCTCAATAATAAGATAAAATAACAAATTACGTAATTAACAATTAAAAGGTGCTTTCCGTCTTGGAATATCAATTTATTGGTAATTTCAGTGCTCTATGAAGCTTGTTCGATCTCGTTCATTAGGAAACGGATTAGTCTATCCAAGCAGTTAATAGCTTATATAACGTATCAGACGTATGTTTTACAAATAAAAATAAATAAAATTTTATGTTCACTTACCTTTACATACTATATGTCGCAAGCGACTCCGCCTGCGCTGTAAAAAAAATTATAACTTATGTGTTCTTGTCGACTACCTTCTACATCTATGTCAAATTTCATTGATAACAGTTGAACCGCTTAGCAGATAGTAATAAACATCCATCCATTCACCTAAGCCTTCGTCAATACCTACAAGGACTGTTCATCTATAGTAAGTTATTTTTTTTTTTAAGAAGACCAAAGGGAAAATATTAGTCAAATACAAATGTACACCTTCATATGTGATTCGTTATTCCTGTCAAAGACATTTCTACTGAGAAATGATTAACTTTTGCTTGCTAGAAATACCTAACTTGTTAAATGTTTATTAAAGGAACATTTTTGTAGTGACTTTTTAATGTTTTAAACAATTTAATCTTGACACTGGCGCAATCCGCTGAGGGAGAGCCATAAACAAGAAATAGAATAGAATAGAAAACAATTTAATCTATAGAATAAGAAATATGAAAACATGTTTTTATACAGATCGTCAATGAAAACTCATGTTTAGATTTCTCAGAAGCAAAATTAATAGTTAAATTAGCAGATCATTTGTTGTCTCCAAAAATGTTTTTGTCGGCGATTACGGTCCGCACCGTCGTTAGTTACAAATTATCTATTCACTCATGTACAAAGGTATTTTTTGTCATAGAAAGAGGTGACTGTCAAATACATATAAGCTATGAAAAAAACATTTTGCTAGAAAATGTCAAATAACATGTCCTTTTTAACTTGATTTTTTTTTCTCAAAGTTTTTGTTTTAAAATTATAAATTTAATGTGTTTCTCTACATTTTGAGTAATATTAAATTAAAAATATAATTATAAGCATTCAGTCGAAATAAAGTCGAATGGAAATCACGAAGAAGTAATTCCGTAGCTTTTTCAATAACAAATTTGTTCGTAAAAGTACATTTTAGTGAACACATTTTATGTGAAGCGATCCTCAAAGTCTATACCTCGGAGAGACTTTAAACCTTCAACAAAACCTTTTTAGACCAACGTCGACTTCTCGTTATTTATTGTCGCCACTAAAAAAAGTCGTACAGAACAAAAAACACGCAAACCGCGCTCCTTGTCTTGTATTTTGTAAATTCTCTATGGTCCCATTTAGTTTAAAATACATTTTTGAACATGTAATGTTTAAAAAGAATAAAGCTAAAATATAATAATACAAATAAATAATTAATTTAACTTCTATAAAACTGCGTGTTGTTTTTAATTACATGAAAAATGTGAATAAAACTTAAGAATTTTTATGTAAAAAGCGCCTGATGCTTTGAAATAATTACAACACGACATGAGAGATTGCTTTTGTTTTTTTAAAGTAAAATCGCAATTTTTATATTTTCACAATAACATAGGTGATAGTAACATAAGAATCATTAGGTATCACATGGATTAAACCATCTTTCACTTTAACCTACGAGAGAAGTTCGCTAATCGAATGCAACGGATGACTGAATTTTAATTAAAACTTCGCAAAGCGCTCTTTTCTTACGAAATATTATGATGTTATCAAGCTATAAACCTTACTTTTTTCATTTATATTTATAAGTTACTAAAATTTCATTCTTTTTCCAGCCTAAAGTATTAAAAATTTGATGTTAAAACTGTTTTCTAAAAAATAAAAATCAACTGATTTTTTCGCTGAACTAAATAACGTTACCATTTTAATGACTGTGACCTTCCGAGCTTAGTACGAATTAATAAGTAATTGTTTTACATAAATATATTAACTGATTTACAAATGTTTAAATACATCTATACTATTATAATAAAGCGTAAACAGACACTTCTTTGTTGCCTAAGATAGCAGCAATTACAGCAAATTTTTGAATAATTCTTTACTTTAATAAAAAGCCCTACACTTACGCCACGCTTTAAGTTATATATTTTCACGCCATTAAAGTTAGGAAGTGAATATTTTGGATAAAAACCCCAATGTTGGAAAGAGACCATAAGTTGCTGCAAACATCAAGAAAGCAAGATTGCTAAGGTTTGTCATGTCATGTCTTTTTGACATTTGTTATTGATAATTTGACAAATATAAACAGTAAAATAAAAATTTTATAATTCCATGCGGTTGAAGCCGCACGGGAACAGCTAGTAATGTATTAAAGATTACTCTGTAATATCCGAAAAGGATATAACAAAAGAATCTTCTATGTAAAATCTTTTGTACATTCTAAAGCTTGTTTGGAAATCGACCGTCCATCCAAACCTGATCTTCGATCTAGTTCGTTTTACATTTTAAAGAAATACAACGGTAGTTGTACAAGGGGTCTAACCTGAGTGGTTGGAAATCGGACATTTTCAGTGCCCTTTTTCAGCAATACAACAAGAGTATTAAGCCGACACTATCAGACATACTCGTCTGTTTTAAGCTCTGTGGTTTTAGATATCGATTTATAGGACGTTCAAGTTACAAAACATTGAAAAGGATTTTCGTTTACACTTAGAGCGGGCGTACACTGACGAAATTATCGCTTAACGATTTGATTGTCGATTGTTTGGTAGCCCATTCAACAGTTTAGTTGTTCAAATAAAAATCGAGTGTGTGCGTAGCTTATGGCACTTATTGAGCTAGCGCGGTCTATCCTTCGGCCGCGTCTTCACTTAGCTTAGGTAGAGTCGTGGTCAAGCGCTGGTTTAATTATCTTAAAAAAAAATATGTTAATAGGAAGCAAAGCGAGACTAACTAGTACGATATTTTAGTCAAAGGTGCACGCACTCTTAAAATGCAATACAACTTTAGTGTTAGTTGCATAGAAATATCGTCTTGCTTAAAAATATATGAGGAACCTAACTTATATAACCTATAATGACATCATAAAGGATTTTACTTTTTAATTTGTATTCACCTTTGGTTCGCTAAGGACGTAATCGGAATGACAGTCTTAAAATAAATCTTCGTGCAATAAGATTTATTATTAAACCGGTATAATATAAATGCAAATAAACACATAAAAAAAATTAAGAAATGGTATTTTTTTTGTAATAATTTGTTTTGCTTTTAATAATTTTGTATACCTCTTTCCTCCGGCCATTGTTTACAAAACTTCTTTATTGTAATTTTTAAGGTTGTATAAATGAAACACTAAAATGTGTTCTTTCGGAACATCCTCTACATCTCTGCCAAATTTCATCGAGATCCATTCAGCAGTTTAAGCCACAAAATAACAAATATCCATCTAAACTTTCGCATTTATAATATTAGTAAGATCGTGGAAAGTGAAAAATTAATGAAGACGCGAGAAACGTCTCCCTAATTTCCCGATATATTATCCAATTCAAAACGACGGAAACAAATTGAACAGGTGCCGCTAAAATTCCATTTATATTAATTTCCGTTCATTCGATGTGTTGGCGAAATCTCATTCCGAGAACGAAACAATGTTTTCTTTTAATATTCGATAATAGCTTACATACGAAATGTTTTATAAATGTTGTTCTTGACAATGTTGTTCTACAATATTCGTCATTTATGTACGTTACGTATTTTTAGCTTTAACTGGCACTTTCTACTGAACAATCGAACTTAAGATCGGGCACAAATTTGCTAATTTGATCAACCTATCGCACAACTGTTGTGCGATTGTCGATTGTTTCGAAGCAAATTAAACGTTTTATAAGCTTATAGACGTGACTAAACAGTTGTGCGATGTTTAGTGCCAGTGCGCACATTTTTACAGTTAAAACTGATGTATGCAGGAAAAAAAATAACTGTCAGTTGAATTGTACAGTTCTCGAGGTTGCCTACATAAGTGTATTTTAAATGTACTGTTCGACTGTTCATAATAACCTGTACAGATAAAACTGAGGTGTGTTTTTAAAGTTGTTTGGAAATTGATGTAAGAATTTATTTCGCATCAAAGCGCAATTTTGCTCATAAATTCCACCCAATGATAAGCTATATTTTTATCCACGTATGCATGTTTCTAACTATGATTTTCTTTAAACACATGTTTTAAAACATGTAAACATATTAAAGTCTGAACAGTAGAAAGAGTCAATAATCTATTTTTACAACTGTATAGTCAAAATACATCTGAAAACAGGGTGATAGAAAATAAACAAAGTATAATTTGTGGACTTTTCTAATTAAACTATTACGGAGCGACTAGACACATATTTAATAGGCAGTGTAGTTAACAAGATATTATTGAGTATTGTAGATGGTTTGGTTTACATTCTTCTTAACGTCTTTGACCGTCAATGGTTTTTGGGGCATGAAGGCGGTTGTACTCGATGGAGCGGAGAATGTATTCGGGGATGGGTTCAGGTTCGGGGGCGACGGGGAGGTGAGCACCCTGAAACAAAAAAGAAACAATAAATAAGTGATTTCCCTATAATCTTACTATAAATGCTAAAGTTTAGATGGATGTTTGATAGCTTGTAGCCAAAACTGCTAAACGGATCTTGCTGAAATTTGGCTTAAATGTAGATCATAGACTGGATGATCACATAGGCTATTCAATTTTGTTTTTTTTTTTTATTGCCCGCGGACAGAGTCACGGTCGAAAGCTTATAATGGGCAAACCAGTGCATGGCCACGACCACCGTCACCCCTAATGTGGTGACGTGGTCGTAAGAAGGAACCAGCTTTGTTAGTATACAAAGTTAGCTCCTATATCGAAGTTTAATGTAGGAAATTACTATAATATAAGTACCAATGAAGTACTCGTGACATACCTGTGGTTGGTATCCGTTCTCGTTGGCGATGTAGGTCACAACGATGACGCTACCGTCAGGTGCCGTGTATCTGTTCTGTCCTTCGACTTGCAGAGCTTCGTCCTCCTAAAAATACAAAGTAATTACGTCATATGTCATAACTGCATCTGCTTACTGGTGGTAAGATATTAAAAGTTGCACTTAAATAAACTACGAAATTATATATCAAATTGATTTAAAATACGCGAATATTAAAACAGTTTTTGAAACAAGTTACGATATTAGATATTTGAATATTTATTGATGTAGTAAATTGAATACAGATGAGACTTCTTTATCATGTTGCTGGTATAATCGGAATTCGTTTAAAACCGCACCTATATTTTGAAGATGTTAACCTTGAGGAAATCATCAAGGTCTTTACTTTACGAGGAAAACGTATAACAATCTTTTTGTCGTCATTTTTTTAAAACTAAAATCACACAATAATTTACGTAGTTAAAATTAGAGCTTGGCATTGTAATTCTGGCAATATCATAATTTTTGTAGAGTGAGTCTAAATACTTGTGATAGAACTGACAAAGACGATCTTTTGCAAATTAAATTCACACTTTCCCAAGAAACGTCGATATTTTCTCCGTTTTGGGTTGTTTAAGACGCAAATTGTTTTTGTCTAAAACGCTACTATGAGCATCCAATCGAGATAACTACAGTCGTGGTTACAGGCGTGAAACCTTATTCCGTCTCCGGAACCCGGCTGGGGTAAGACGCTAAAGAATTAAGAGTTACTTACGCGACCAGCGTTCTTCAATACTCCAGTCTCAGAAGCGGAAATACCGTTACCGGTCTCATATTTGTATTGGTATTGGTCAGGGAAGACATCAGCGTCTTGGCTGATGATGGGAGCGTCAGCCTCAGGAGACCGCACGAAGGGAACGTCGGCAACCACAACTGCCACAAGGGCGAAGAGAGCGATGAAGGTCCTCTGGAACACATAAATGTAAATTATTAATATTTATACATTTTTAATAGGTAGATTTCTGTCACACTAGAAGAAGCCACGCCACTTCAAAAGCAGGCGCGATTACTTCTGTGGAAATAGTACCTTAATGGCTCAAAATAATAGCAGAACAGTGTCCTGCGACAAAACCCTAATGGGAACCTCTTAAGGTCAACGAAACAGTTTCCATGAAGACATGAATAGATAAATACATATTAAGGCTTCTAAAAGTTATAATGTAATTGTATTAAAATTGTTAAGTAATGCAATTAAATACGTTATAAAATTTCTTAAGGCAATTGCCCTTTAAACTTGATTAGGACATTGACTATCGCTGGAGGCGTAATCTAATGATCGCTGACGCAACCACTGGCTGGGACTCACCATGCTTGTGTCAAAGTTAACGGATTGCGTGTAACTGTACGTTAGACGATCGAGCCGACGTTTTTATACTCCCGTCTAAACTCGACGGCTCGACGAATCTTAATTTGCATGATTTGGCAACAAAGCTCTGATCTTTAATATGACTTGTGGCTTTTCGCAAGGTGATCACAATTAGTAAATTTTTTTGGCCGATTGAAAGAGTAATGTTTTTCAGGGGTTGTGTTTGCATTATTAAAGATTTCAGCATCCCTGGCGTGATGTTATTTATTGACTTTAGTTATAATTCTATTCGTTTTCTTTGTGGCAATCTCATTAGTGTGCGGTAGCTCTGGTTTAGGTACTGTTTTTTAATGAGTGAACCCACTGATCATTATATCAACACGTGATTCTGCTTAATTTGTACAAAATGTATAATATTTTAAACACAGACTTAGGTAAAACACGTGTTGTGAATGTTATCCTTGAACTTTAGCATTGATCGGTTGAATATTAGGTTATTCTTGATATCTTAAAAACTAGCGATGGTCAGAACTGGTCCTATATTTCTTATCGTTTAAACATTTTTATGTTACAGGGACTTCTTTGAATTAATATGACCATGGTTTTGTTTTTTAAATAAGCGTTTTTATCGGACCTACTTTTTTAGTCTTGTTTATACAAGTTAAAAAAAATTATATTTTTCATTCAGATAGAATACTGACTGGTATACCGAAGAAAGTATGGATGGATTGTGTGAAAGATGATATGCTTAAGAAAGGAGTGGTTTCAGGTATGACGACTGATAGAGATGTATGGAAGAGTAGCACATACTGTGCCGACCCAAGTTGATGATGAGAATACAACAATAAAAGTTGGTTAGTCATTTATTGTCGTGTATCATCATCATCATCATCATCATCATCATCATCATCATCACCAGCTCACCCTGCGTCCCCACTGAGGGCCTCGGCTTGTTGAGTATACCTTAACCCTTAAATGGGTGATGATGCATTCATACATCTGTCTTTTCTTCCTTACACAATAAATTATTTCGATTTTTTTCCCCTTAATCTATGTTCAATTTACAGTATTAAAACATGCATTTAAGGGTTAACTATTTCTAATTTTTGGTTCAAGTAACCTCTCCGAATGCATCTTGAAGGTAAAAAAACTATAAGTGGCGTCGAAAAATTAATGTTGCAGATTTTGAGGAAATACATTTTTTATAAAACAAAAAACAGTTTTTTATGAATACGCTTAACATAACTATTGTTGAATCGATTTTTTATTTTAATTATTTATTTTTGCTTGATTGTAATAATTTTTAAATGTTGTTCTTTGTTACAATAATCATCTGCAGTAAATTACAATGTACTAAGCCAGTAACTATTGTTATAATAAATAACATTTCCTTTTAACAAATATCTAATGTGCAATACATAGATTGTGCATACAAATTGCATTTACATTTTTAATACACAGTCATATATTGTACTCACGTGTTCACTGAATATTTATTATCATATTAAGTTCGAAAAGTTCATGGCAGGAATCCGTCAATTCTATGCAGATCTAACAATACTATCTATGAATGTTGTCAGATAAAAATTATGAATAAATAAATATGACAGACGCTCCAAGGTCTTACATTAGTATTTAAAACTTTCATTATTACACTTATGGTATTAAAACTACAGAAGGTTCAAGTCATATCTTCTAATTATGTTTTTTTTTTAGTTGTCGGGTACACATCAAACTAACTAAAAATTATACACGGAATTACTTAATAGTGGTAAAATGCGCTTCGACATCTTGGCACTGCAGTGCCGGCTCGCCCGGTGCAATACCAAGACCCACAGAAGACTGGCGTCAAGTGTGATCTATTCCACGTTTAGTCTAATGAGTGTGGAGCCGAAAGCCTAGTTTTAGTCCTTTTGGATGGGATGGGAAGGAAAAGTGGATTTGACAGTGGAGGAGACGCAAAGGAAGGGGAAATATCCTTTTTTTGTGCGTCACCTCCTCCGTCGATTAGGGTAAGCAATTACGAATGTCTATTGGTTATTTGTTTTTACTGGAAATGGACCTATGTCTGTATACTCGATGGTACCCTTTACAACTATTGTACTTGAATTTCAATTGTCGTAGGACATACGTAACAACGATACCCGAAAGGTAGGGCGACGTGGGACGACCGCCCAGGGCGCCAGACATAAAGAGGCGCTACGGACGCATAAAGGGACGTCATGTGGGTTTGTTTTGCAATTAGGCGGCGCCCTAGAAATCTCGCCCAGGGCATCGGTAATACTAGAACCTATCCCGTGTAATAACGTTATTGTTATCTGTTTGTTAATAGAATAAAGGAGATCGTATTGTTGTTACACAGTTGTTACAACAAACAACAATGGAGAGTTGTTATTTTTTTGTTAATGTTGCGTATAAATTTCAAGTTTACCGTGCCACGAATGTGTGCCGCAAGTCATACAAGCTCGTTTGCAGTTTTTGTGCTACGTCAGGGTCTTTGACCAGACGTCTAATGGAAAGTGAAATGACATTTTATGTACGCGTGCCTAATTTCATGTTTAATTAATCATTAGATAAATAAGTATTCATTTATTATATCTAATAGTAATAGTTATACTAATATAAGTTTGAATGGACGGATGTATTACTACGTATCTCCGAAATGTGTTACTAAGTGTATTTTAATTTCGCACGATCAAAGTCACGGGTAAAACCTAGTTTATAATAGGCATCGCATTTGAAAAATCATTTTCTAGATATTATAGCACGCAACTAATGAAAACAAATACAAATAACGTATTTTTTTAATTTTTCATTATTCATAAAGTCTTCTGAAAGTGAAAGTGCGATAAGGTCTTGGGACAAATCGCGTTCACAGTAATTGGTTAGTTGAATAAAGATAGATAAGGCTTATACTAGACGAGACCAAAGTCTGTGCTCAGGTCGGGGCACATAGAAGCGACTAGAACGGCCACAGTGACCGCAACATCGTCAAACACTCGTTATTAAATTCTATTCAGGGCATAGTTACTTCGCTCGGAATCTGATAAGTGCTGCTTTTAGTGAGCTTTTATTTATTGTTTACATTTGTCGAATTCTCAATTGCAAATGTCAAAATTACCGTTACCATTATAACCTTTCTTCTTGACATTGTCAGTTTGTAGTTTATATTCTCTTTCCCACATGTAGGTTTTTTCCAATTTATCTACCCCCTAAGTTTAATAGACTTAAAATATATAGCCTCAAGCGTGTCGTAAGTGTAGGGTTTTTATTAACAAGTGATTGTTGACAACCTACGCCACGAAGTACCGTGTGTATACGATTTGTTATATTAGTATAGATATATTAAATATTTGTTAGTTGAAAACTAAGAAGGGCATGCACAAGTTAGGAACATAAAAAACATTAACTTAGTTCCCTTGTTGTACTTATTTAAGTTGAGCTTTGAGCTAATTTTTTGACCGACTTCCCAAAATAGGAGGTACTCAATTCATCTGTATGTTTTTTTTATTTGTTTTTATTGTTTTTTTTTATTTTTTTTTATGTGTGTTATCCAACCTTTCTACGATTAGACAGCTCATATGTTAAAGTTTATTTTTTCTTATTTGTTAATCAAATTAATGATGACAAAGACTTCGATCTTAGATTTTATACATTTCACATTACAATGTTTACCAACTTACTAACGGCATGTTTTTTCAATACATAATTGTATTGGCAATATACTAGTTATGAACTTTAGAAATGCCTACACGTCGAGACCTGAATTTTACGACACCGAACTAGAGTCTTGACATTTAGCATGAAATTTTTCCTCCAAATAAACTGTATGTTTTGCATAAATATACGACATAAATGATATTGTTAATTCTAGATTTATTTACGGGATTTCACATTGATTTAAAATGTGTTGCTATGTGATATTTGTAATTTAAGAATACTTAGCTATTTTATTATACTTAAAAACATGTATTAAATCTATTAGCTAAAATGAAAGTAGCTAACATGCAGTTCATGTCTAAGGAAAGAAAGATATCGAGGCTTTGAGTGTCTATTCTTTGACAAGCCTCTTGACTGCTTAAGTGTAGGTTTCTCATACAAAATCTATACTTAGTGACTCTGATTTTGGTAGTCAGATATCCATTATTAAATTCCTTAATGATCTATCCTCTGCAATTGTCGCCCACGCAAATTTGACCATATTAGCGGTCAATTTTGAACTCGGTGAGATTACAAAGCATAAGTCCTCATTCAAGCTGGCGTTTTTATAACGCGTGTGAAAGTATGAAATAAAACAAACACATTCCATGTATCTGTTCATATAGCAGCACATTAAAACGCGACGCTTTTTTTTTATCGCAATGTTGTATTTGCGCTGAGCGAAATATAGAAGAGTAATTTTAAAGTATTTTAATGAGCGTTAAAAAAAACGCCCGTGATTACGGATTTTTAAATCTTTGTTGTTATCTAAAACATTCGAACCTAAGAAGTGTTTTTCTGTTTAATGGTCGAATGGTCAAATTATTTTTAAATGATAATCGTGAGTACTTTATATGCCTCGGCATTAATATATAGATAGTTGTTACTGACGGTATAATATTCTTTAAAATAATTGAATAGAAGTTTACTGGAATTGGAAAAACAAGAAGATGCATATTCAAATAGGATGTTATGTTATATTAACATAAAAATGTAATTTTAATATGTATTTTTATATATTGTCTAGCCTTGAGATTTGGACAAACACATTTGTCAGGTTTAAAGTTCATATAAAACTAAAATTATTTGTTGTTTTAAAAAGATGAGTTTAAAAATAAATGCTTATAATAATAACTAGCTGTTGCTCGCGACTTCGCCCGCGTAAAATTAAGAAAATAGTAAAAACATAGCCTATGATAGCCAGTGATAATTTAGCTTAATAATGGTGCAAGAATTTTTGAAACCGGTGCAGTAGTTTTTGAGTTATTTCAATTAAAAAAATACAAATCTTTCCTCTTTATAATATTAGTATAGATGAAATACGTATTAAAGTTAATAAAAAAATTAAAACTTACTTAATTTGTTGTTAAAATTAAGCAAAATAAGCTTAATACGTATTCTCATATGTCCGAAAACAATTGATGGAAGGTATAAAATTAAAGAGATCAAATAATTTTCTATAGTGTACTTCATTTCAAAATCCATATCGTTGTTACAATCTTATAAAAGAAAACAAAAACAAAATAAACATAAGATGTGGGATAAACAATTTTCTACAGGCAGTGTTGATAACTTTGTACTAGGTCGGTATTAACTTAGGCGACGGTCTTCTTGATGTATTCCGCTGGTGGTGGGTGCTCAGCGATGTACTGGAGACTGCGGAGGATCAGCTCTGGGATTTCTGGTGGCACGGGGATGTGGCTTCCCTATAAACAATTAACAAGATTATAACAAAGTTCAGCAAACAGTTCGATGAGATTTAAAATCAAGCGCCATCTATGTAACAGTCCTGTAAAACTAGAGTTTAAATTTAATTTCAATAGATGACGCTGTTATATTTTATTTCATTCTTGTATTGGGAGTCTCACAATGCAAAACTATATTGAAATTTATCAAGAACGATATCGTAATCAAGACAATTATGCATTGATGATACCAGTCTAGAATTTTAAAGATCAAGGACTGACTCGGATGACAGACGATAAAAACTTTAATATGGTAATCCGATATTTGGAAATTGATGATGTATCAATTTTATTACATTTTGTTAAATACTAAATATTTACCTGAGCTTGGTAACCGTTCTCGTCAGCGACGTAGGTGGTCTCAACTGGGGTACCGTCAGGGGAGGTGTAACGGACTGATCCCTTAACTTCAAGAGTAGCGGCCTCCTGTAATGAAAAAATGTATTAATATATCATTCAGTTTTTTATATCATTTGGTTTACTTTATCGCTTCAATTGTTTGTTGATCTATGAAAATGCTTGTATTTTTTTTAAATTAATAGTCGCTTCTGAATACCCTTTCTCAGTCGCATACAGTTACGAGCATTATATTTGTAAAAACCTCATTTTAAACTCTTCATTTAAGTTTAAATGACTTACGGAGTTGGGGTTCTTCACGACACCCTGAGCTTGAGCGGCGATGCCATTTCCGGTTTCGTATTCGTATTGGAAGTTGCCTACTGGGTCCGCGTCGTAAGATGACTTGATGATCGGTGCCTGGTACTCGTCGGTTCTCACGATGTGAGCAACATCAGCGCTGGCCAAAGCCACGACGGCGAAAAGGACTAGGAATTTCTAAACAGAAACAATTCGATTATTAAAAACAAAGCTAGACAAATATCTGTGTATTTAATGTAGAGGTGATTAAATATTTTTTTCATTGTATATTTTTAATATCTTACCATTTTGATTGGAGTGGGCTTACTGAGTCTGATTCAGTGACAGTCTGATTTGAAACGGTGATCCGATGTCTTTATATAGGTAGGTTGCGTCCAGAATCGATATGCGAATTCATTATTTTCTTGTTTTTTGTGTGAACTTGTCGCCTCGCTCGGACATTATTCATTTGGATACGCGCATAATTATAAATTCAATCAGGAGGCTTCCGGATGGACATAATAATTATTTTTAATTACTAAAAATGATGTTCTACTTTAAAAGCAACTTCGAATTATATTTTGGCTTTAATTTCAGAGGAAATAGTACAGTTTTTTACCATTTGTAAATTGGTACATCTTTCTTACTAATATTACAAATGCGAAAATTTAGACGGATGGATATTTGTTAGATATAGTTTAGGTTAGATAACTTAAACCCGGTACGGATCTCCACGAAATTTGGCATAGTTGTAAAGGATAATCTCGAAGAATACATAAGCTACTTACTTTTGTTTTATTATTAATTCCACGCGGACGAAGTCGCGGGTGAAAGCTAGTAAATGATAAGTATGATAATAGTAAGAATGAACTACTCTTGTTCAGTTATGGGCTGTCTGTAACTGTCAGAAATGGGCATCAGGTGGGCTTTACTATAACAGTTATAAAAATAACTTTATGATTATTATTAGTGTGGAATACATCTATTCTCTTAAAGAGAAGACAGTACAAAGCATTATCTTTGTACATTCTCTTTCAAAGAAGCATAATTTATCTGTTATCGTTATAAAAATACTAGTTTTCGACCGCCACTCCTTCAGCGTGGAATTAAAAAAAAACAAAAGTAAGTAGCCTATGTGTTCTTCCAGACTATTCTCTACATCTATACCAAATATCATCGAAATCCGTTTAGCCGTTTAGGATACAAACTCTAACAGACATCCATCCATCTATCCATCCATCTAAACTTTCGCATTTATAATATTAGTATGATATAACCAATTGACAATTGTTTTACTTAGCTAGTGACCAATTAAATCTAGGAAGTAGACACGTGGGTTTAAGTGTCTACTGTCGCATATTTATTAACTGAAAAATAAAATTGACTATTTAAAAATTACAAAACGATTAAAGTTTTATAAAAATGACATATTCGAAATTTATAGGAGATTGAATCTTAACGAAATGGTTTAAGGGTCAATTTCTATGTAATATAAAAGACATGAATAAAACCAATCTTTATAAAACTAGCTGTTCCGTTGCAACTTCATCCGCTTAAAATTATGACAATTTTATTTTATTTTTTGCATTTGTCAAATTATCAATTGCAAATGTCAAAATGACATGACACGATGACAAAGCATGGCAACTTTGCACCCTTCATGTTGGCAGCAATTTATGGACCATTTCCCACATTAGGGTTTTTATCCAAAAAAAAAAATACCCCCTAAATTTAATGGCGTGATAATATATATCCTAAAGCGTGACGTAAGTGTAGGGCTTTTTAATAAAGAAATAATTATTGAAAACTATGCTGTGATTGCTGACATCTTACGCAACAAAGTAGTGTGTGTTTACGCTTTATTATAATGGTATCGACTAGCTGTTCCCACACGACTTCGTCCGCATAAAATTATAAAAAAATCACTTTATAGTTCACATTTGTCAAATTATCAATTGCAAATGTCAAAATGACATGACTTGATGTCAAACCATGGCAACCTTGCTTTCTTGATGTTGGCAACAACTTATGGTCTCTAATCCTAAATTTAATGGCGTGAAAATATATATCCTACAGCATGGCGTAAGTGTAGGGCTTTTTAATAAAGAAAGAGTTATTCGAAAATATTCTGTGATTGCTGACATCTTACGCCACAAAGTAGTGTGTGTTTACGCTCTATTATATTAGTATAGACATGCAAACCGATACAAATCGTTGTTTAGAAAAACTTTATTTATTTGATTAGTTAAGCTTTTGTATTTGTATTTACGTATATAATTTACTCGACTTTAGGAATACAATGTTTTACATTGACGGACCCTAAATCGTTTTTATAATAGTACTACTCAAAGGGCAGCAAAAACAATGAAGATAAAGTAATAGTAATAATTAAATGTCTGCTTAATAGTACAAAGGGTCATTGAGATGACATCATGAGACTGTCTACGTCACCTTTAATTCTATAAAAAATGGTTAACCTTCGCCTCACGAATATAAATTTAACATTCGCAGACCACAAAAGGTTATTATTACCTGATATGTGATATTTTTCTATGTAATGTATTCAAAACGAGTAGTGAGCGCTTCGCTTCTTAAAACTTGACAGTCAAGGCCGTATTGTCGCGAACTCTATATAAATAAAAAAAAACATCTTAACGCGTTTCCATTAGTGAAAACTAAATCATGATATACAGGTTTCGAATTTTAAATCCACATCTCAGTTAATTTTTTAAAGTTGATAGAAATATTTGTTTCAAAGTGTAAGTGTTAGAGAATTTAAGTTGTAAAACGTTAGAATGGTATGGGCATATTATGAGGGATAAATCGCATGTAACAAGGAGAACGTTAGTTATGAGTGTGGTACACCGGTAGAGGTAGACGTAGAAAGAGATGGATTGCGTGAAAGGTGACATTATCAAGAAGGCAGTGGTGACTGAGATGACGGATGTTAGTTATCTGGAGGACGAAAACCCGGGGCGCTGACCCTACGAGAGTATGATAAAAAGGGGAGATGCTGATTGTTTATTTGTTAAGTACTTTCAACTCTTAACTCACCACTGTGTAGTAGAACTAAAGCGTTAGTTAATTTACGATATTATCCGAGATAGGTACTCATAGACAAAAATTAACATTTCGGACCGTTGATAAAAGCTTAATCTTAATTAATAACATTTCTTCATTAGAATCCTACTTTTAAAAATCAAACACTAGATTTATAGAGGCTAGGTAGCTTAATTTAGTTGTAAACAGAACATATCTATGTTGACGATTTTTTTAATAATAAGTACCGGTAAAATAAAAATCGGTAAAAAGCTTCACAATTTGTATTCCGATAGCAACTATCGAAGTTATCAGATGTATATAAAAGAGGTCGATTACACGGTGCAATAACGGTACAAGAAATACCTCCATGTTTTATGTAATGTTAAGAACAAAATTAGTACTGTCCTGTAGAATTGGCGCAACTCTAGATAATCGGCATAAACGTCATGTCCCTAGCTGACAGCTGTCAATGTCACTAGAAGTATGGATAGAATGGCGCGCATCCTCAGTCCTGACGAAAAGTGTTGCTCTGAGTTTAAAGCGACAGTATCAATTGAATAAGTTGTATAAAAGTCACTATATTAGTATTAGGATACGAAAGTTACCTTTATGTTCTAGTTTTGCAGTTAGTTGAGTTCGGCTCTGACACTAAGGTTCAATCTCCAATTTCCTATTGCTTTTTATCTAAACAAAATATTTACTACACTAGCTTTTGTCATAGTTGGGGATACAACACTAGTAATGACCTTCCCTCATCAGCTTTCCTAAAAAACCTACATGACAAAAACTAGGACATTTTTTTAAACATGTTGTAACCGGGTTGCCTAATCCTAGCCTGGCAAGGCTATATTTAATTGATCTCTGAAGTGGTCAATTTTTGGAGGAAAAACCCCTCATCGAGTTTCCTGAAAATTTTGTCACCAATCAGCTGCCTTGTAGAATTAAAAAAAAAACAAAGCTAGAAGCCTTCTTGTTCTTATCTGTTTAAATTCGTCGCAAATGAAGTCACGGCACAAGCTAGTAGATAAATAACAACAAACAAATCATACTAATATTATTAATGTGAAAGTTTACATGGTTGTTCGAGTTTGTAGCCTTAACGGCTAAACGATTTAGATGAAATTTGGTGCTAATGTAGAGGATAGGCTACACACTTTTGTTTTTTAATTCCATGCGGACAAAGTCGCGGGCGAAGGCTAGTAATTTCATAATTAAGTTCGACTATAGAGAAGAAAGCGATAACATTATAGAAAAGAATTCCATCAAGCTTGATTTTATTTTTAAAAATAACTACAAGTGCTTTAGTATTTTACGATGCTCTCATTTATCGGCATTTAAAATGTTTGTCCAATAGTCATTATTAGCTTAGCTTGGCTTTACAAATATTGTAAGACGCGCTACATTAGGCGTAACTTCTTAACATACCTTGAACTTTAACGGTAAATGGAATGGTTACGTAAATAGTATAATGTAAAAACATTTTTAACTGTCCTAATAAATAATCGTATCAATTAGCTACCATAGGTTTTCAGTTTTTTTTTTTATAATATAAGGAGGCAAACGATCAAGCGGCCAGCTGAATCCACCGAAATGGATCAGAAATATCAGATAGAAAAATTAACTTCGGACCATGAATTATCTTATCTTACTAATGTGAAAGTTTAGATGGATGGATGGATGTTTATTAGAGTTTGTAGCCTAAACGGCTCAACGGATTTCGATAAAATTTGGCATAGATGTAGAGGATAATCTGGAAGAACACATAGGCTATTCACGTGTGTTTTTTTCAGTTCCACGCGAACGGAGTCGCGGGCGAAACCTAGTATTCAATAATTTGTTGAACTCAATCCTTTGTCATTTGTTTGTATTGTGTTTTCTTTTGTTTAGTGTTGTATGATTAAATTGCATACATATATTACAAAGGTAAATAAAAAGCGTATTTAAAAACAAATTGCACAATTTATTGTACAAATCCATCGATGAACAATAAAACAATTATTTCATCACTTTACCATCGTAGTATTTAATACTTATTTGTGATGTCGACAGTTTGAGCAGATTCGTTAACATTAAGTTTGATTAGGCATCGTTGGGTGAGAGTTCCTCGTTCTTAGTTCTTTGAGGTTGGTTCTTTGTAGGGATGGGTCGCGATCCATTCCAAGGCACGGAGGATGTAGTCTGGGATCGGTACAGGCGCCGGCGTAGTGGGAAGATGATCACCCTGTAAACAAGATATATTATTCACTATTCCCGTTGTTCTCAAAGTTTGGGTGATGCTCTGGTATTTTGCGGGCCCCTGATCTTATATAATAGCATTTAAATACAAAAGCTACATTAAAATATTTAAATACAGAAAATACTAGCTGTCATCTGCGACTCCGCGCCTAATTTAGAAAAAAAATTTTTTTTGGTAGTACTAAATGTTTTTCCAGACTATATATAACATAGTAATAAATATCCATCGATTCATCTAAACTTTCTTTTTTGATTGTTTCTTCATAAATAACTTCTCACTCTCTCTATGCGTTTTAATTCAATTTAAAACAATTATAGCGATCTATCTTACTAATATTATAAATGCGAAAGTTTAGATGGATAGATGGATGGATGTTTGTTAGAGTTTGTAGCCTAAACGGCTGAACAGATCTCGATTAAATTTTACATAGATGTAGAGGATAGTCTGGAAGAAAACATAGGCTAATCACTTACGTTTTTTAATTTTACGCGGTCGGAGACGCGGGCGAAAGCTAGTTTTTTATAAGATTTTATTCATTGCTAGATTATTATCTATTTCTAGATGAGGAAATGGATCTCAAAAACGGAAATTATTGAAACTTTGAGAACCACAGGTCAGTTGTAATCATTCACGTTGGTAATGAACGACGTTCACAGTGACAATGTTATTATAGTTCGAAGATGGATTACGATGTAAGCTTCTAATCTGTCCTCAAAGTTCGTCTGAATACTGCATGCAAATGAAGTAAGGGGCTTTCCATATATTAATACTGTAATATTAGTTAATCTATTTCACGTAAGGTAACTAACATGAATAAATTGAACAGAATACCTACTCCACATTTTCTAATCTGTTTTCAAAATATTGTATTCATATAAAACTTAATTTAAAACTATCGCACAACTGACGTGCGATTGTCGATTGTTTCGCAACCAATTTAACTGTTTAGTTGCACAACTAAAAATCGAGTAATGTGCGCACCTCCATATAAGCTCATAGGAATCAAAGCGCGACTATGCAGTCGTGCGATAGTTAAACAAATCAGCTTTAGTATTGCGGTTAGTTATCAATAGTTTAGATTTCATGAGAAATGTAATAGTTTATCTTACCGATGGCTTGTATCCGAATTCATCGGCAACGTAAGTTGTTTCAATCTTTTGACCATCAGGTGAAATATAAGATACCGCGCCCTGAACTGTGTGGGAGACCTCGTCCTGAAACAAAATGAATTTAGGCCATTAATATGCCATTTGTATGCGAATTCTTTTTATGATTATGCGTGTAAAATAATTGCTAATGAATGTCCTTAGTCCAACCATCTTACGGTGAAGAATACATTATGATACAACCTGCACATATTGGAGAACAATTTCAAAGATGTGTGAAGTTAACCCACACTGCCAGCGTGATTGACTATGGCCTAGTCATCTTATGACATGCTCTGTACCGAATAGGCACGTATATTGACCTGATTGTTTACCTTGTTCAAAGTCCTAATGACTCCTTCCGCATGTGCAGAGATTCCGTTCTCAGTTTCGTAAACATACTGGTAGCCACCCTCGGGGTTATGTTGGTAGTCGCTTCGGACAACGGCTGCCTTGTCGTCCGGCACCACGCCGTACGCGCAACCGATCGCACATAATGCTAATACGACGGATTTCTGAAACAAAAATATTCATATAAGTTAGCTTATCGCAAGTGCAATTATATGCAATTATGTACGAAAATAATGTTATACAATTGATTATTATTTAAAACAAGTAGAAATGAATGAATGAAAAGATACAGTGGAGAATTATATTTATGACTAGCTGTTGCTCGCGACTTAGTCCGAGTGATAATAAAAAACATATCAATAATATCCTATATTACTGACTGATAACTTAGCTTTCTATTGTAAGAAATTTTTAAATCGGTCCAATAGCTTTTGACATTTTTCAATACATCCAAAAATACAAATCTTTCCCCTTTGTAATTTTAGTACAGATTATTTTCACATGAAAATTATAGTAACAGTCTTATTAAAAATATTTAATATCCAATATATTCTATGTAAACTAACTCAGCTTAAATCAAATTGACCCAGAAATAGTTTAAAGTGGGAGTATCTTGATATATGCGAGGCGAATTCGCGTAACACTTCGATGCAATCTGGCATTTTACTTTCCTTATGTAACTATTTGTTACAGAATATTATGCAAACAATATAATGTTTTATGAAACGTTTAACAACGTATCATTGGTCATTGTATAAAAAGTATTTCCATCGAAATTCTTAATTTAAAATAGCGACTTAATTACGATGATTTTATTTTAATTCGATGTATAAATTAACAGTTCATCAAAGTCCGTCACGTTAGCAAACATATGACCTTTAAGACTATAGAGGAACATTTAGCATCGAATATTTGTAATTTCTTACGTAACATACATTATTGATTAGCAAAGAAATGAAGACAAAGACTTCTGTTTAGATAAAACCTACTTATCTATACTATTATACTCGTAATAAAGCGTGAACACACACTTCTTTTTTGCCTAAGATGTTAGCAATTACAGCATATTTTTAAATAATTATTTTTTTAATAAAAAGCCCTACACTTACGTCACGCTTTGGGCTATATATTTTCACGACAGTGAATTTAAGGGGTAAATATTTTGGATAAAAACCCTAACGTGGGAAAGAGACCATAAGTTGCTGCCAACATAAAGGAAGCAAAGTTGCCAAGGTTTATCATGTCATGTCATTTTGACATTTGCTATTGACAATTTTCATAATTTCATGCGGATGAAGCTGCACGGGAACAGCTAATACTATTATAATAAAGCGTAAACACACACTTCTTTGTTGGCTAAGATGTCAGCATTCACAGCATATTTTTATATAATTATTTTTTTAATAAAGAGCCTTAAACTTACTTTACGCTTTAGATATTTATTTACACGCTATTAAACTTAGTTGGTAAATAAATGTAATTAAAATGAGTGTGAAGAATTAAAAGTTCATAATAAATGTACTTGAGTAGATGCTCACCATTTTTGAGTACCTTCACGTTTCAAAGATGAGACACTATGAATGTATTTTAAGGATAAAAATCCTTTTATATTACTTGTAGTAAACAAATATACCACAGTACGGTCAGTTAATGATAGAAAAGGTCAATTTTTTGTCGTTTTCTCAAAGCTTTTACATGCTGGCGCTTGACATTTGCCCGACGAACCCAAACACGTTTAGGTCATTAATTTCTTGTTTATTATCATGATTCGGTTTTACTTGTGTATTAAATTCGGCAAAATCCCGAAACTAAATGTAATACTAAATAATATTAAACATAAAAGAATCATTTTCCCTTTATTCGTGGATGTTAGAAACTAGAGCAATGCAAATTCTTATAAAATGCTTGATTTTATTATAATTTATTTAACGACTCTCTGAATTAAGGATAATTTATTATAATTAGTAACGTTGGCATTTAAGTTTAAAATGGAAATATAGGAAAAAATGATTAAATGACAAATGCATACTGATATGAAAGTCTAAAAAAGACAAAGGGGAAAAATATTAAACATCATGACATTTCTAACATGAATTAACAGTGAAGGAAAACATCGTGATGCAACCTGAACATAACCCCGAAGAAATTCAGATATGTATTATAACAAACCTGCAGTAAGAAAGCATTGATTAAGGCCTTGTCCCAACTTAAGGTAGACTGAGTAACTTAGTAGAGAATACGAAAGGTTCGGTAAAATCAACACATAGTATACTCTTAAAAAATAGATTTCTTGATGTCACCCGTACTAAAACACAGACGTTTCAGTAACTAAAACACGAAATAAATTATACTCAAGACTCAAGAATACTGACTTACAGCTGAACAAACATACAGAGATATTTAAATTAAATATACAGTTTTACTAATGTTTATAAAAAGTAAAATAAGTTATGTTAACTTTTACATCCCACGCGGGGTAAAGGCCTCATTTAATTTGAACTTATAACCTATTCATATTCTATTTTTCCAGACGTACATTATTTAGCATATAAATTACGAATAAAACCACTCATATGTAAGTGATCGCTGATTTTTGTATAATTAATAACGTTTTATTAACATTTGTTAGAAGAAAAGAATGGTTTATTCCTTTAATGGCTGATACTTCAATTAGGAGCATCCAGCAATTATAGCTGAGCGAGGACCCAATCCAGTCAACATTGCAACGATGATTTTAAATATTTCATCTCTTTAGTTACGTTTTTCATTACTTTGTGTTTAATTACTTTTTTTTTCATAACTGTAGTGTTGATAAGGATTAAACATTGTTATTTTTTATTTTATTATTGTATTTGTCTATAGTTAAACTAAGTACTTTTCAAAATAAGGGTAAAATAAGTCCAGACCTCATTATATTAATTATAGTTATCTTTCTATCATCATATTGAAGGGGAAGGGTATGGGAAGAGGATTTGATGAGGAAAGGGAGAAATAGCAGAGTAATTTGACCCTGACACATACAAGTGTGATTGTAATATCTACATATATAAGCAAACTGTGTATTAAAAGCAAAAAAGTAAATATTTCAAGCATTACTTAAAACAAATATTTCCACTTCATAAACACATATTGTAACAGTTCTCGTAACTGTCATACTAATATGATAAATGCGAAAGTTTAGATGGATGGATGGATGGATGGATGGATGTCTGTTAGATTTTGTAGCCTAAACGGCTGAAAGGATTTCCATGAAATTTGATATAGATGTAGAGGATAGTCTGGAAGAACACTTTGGCTATTCATTTTTCTGTTTTTTTTTTTTAATTCCACGCGGACGGAGTCGAGGGCGAAATGTAGTTTAACTTTAAATTATTTCAATTCAAACGTGTAAATGTTAAAATATTAAACAGGTACAAAATGTACAATTAAAGATGTCGCTTGCCTTTGGTAAGGTCAGACGTTTTTGTATAACGCTTTAACTCCACTGCACTAGCTTGTTTCAATACATATTACCATTCCTTTCATTAACTTTAAAAAAATAGAGACAGCTATATGTCGATACAAATGTCACGTCGGTCAAAACCCAAACTCGTCGGAGAATCTCGTTGAACAAAACTCACGCATCAAACGCGTGGCGCATATTTAAATAGCATATTTTTCATTGGAATTCTTTAAGTATTAAGTTAACATTTATGATGTCGGTGAAACGGATGCATTTACTGCATAATCGATTTAAAAATTAAATCATTCATGCTTTGGGCACAATTTAATTGAGTAGACAACAATTTTGTTTCACGTTTTCTGAGCGCTTATCTTGAGTATTCGTGAGCACTCATTCATAACGTCATCGACATAAAGTGCTCCAACAAAATTCATACAAATTTTATCGTAGACGTTACGAATTCGTTCTCGCAACTGTAACGTGATTCGTGATACACTCTCTGAACAATACATTAATTATTTTATACTTGAACTTAACCATGACCTAACCTCCAAATTATATAGTAGATATAATAAAATGTTATTACATAGCAGATATACAAAATTCTTCAAGTAAGTGACATTTTGAACTATTAAAAAAAGTACAGAAGTTTGCACCTGTAGCATTTAAAATGACGTTAACAAAGTTTTTTTATTTGTAACGTCTGCTCGTGTTTGTCGAAATAGGGCACTTCGGTCAAAGCCGCTATGACCTTCTAGTTACAATTATCTATTTGTATATTATAATATAGCTGTGTCTCGCGACTTCGCACACGCCACATTAAAAAAATATATGAAACATCGCCCATGTTACTTACTGATAACATAGCGTTTTATTGGTGAAAGAATTTATGAAATCGACGTAGTTTTTGAGTTACACATACAAAAATACTAAAATACAAATCTTTCCTCTTTATATTACTAGTATAGATATAGTTTTACAATAATTATTTATAGTAAGTTATAGGAAGGCTTAGTTGTAATTTTTTTTATACGTTCTTATGTGTTTTCAAAACGTTCTACGTTCAAGTAAGCTAAGCTATTGTTATTGTAGTTGTATTGTAATTGTAATAGTAATACATAATATACTTGGGTATCATCATCATCATCACCAGCTCACTATACGTCCCCACCGAGGGGCTCGGAGCCTACCCTAAGTAAGAGTCACTAGGCCATAGTCAACCACGCTGGCCAAGTGCTGGTTGGTTGACTTCACACATATCTTTGAATTTCTTCGCTGATATGTCCAGGTTGCATCACGATGTTTTCCTTCACCGTAAGAACGTCGAGTAAATTATGTACATATGAAAATTCGAAAAATCGAAAATCACATTGGTACATGGCGGGATTCGAACCCAAGACCTCTAGATTACAAGTCAAATGCTTAAACCACTGAGCCACCGACCATACTTGGGTATAAAGTTACATAAATAAATGTTTATCTTAAACTAGTTATATATCACCTTTAATATCTACTTTCTTTATGGATTTCATTCTTAATCGAGCAAACTTTTCCTTTCTTATAATCGTATGTAAAAAATGAATGTTGTAATAAAAGTTGTTTTATATTAAAAACTACTAAAATACGCTAATGGATGTCTGCATACAATAAAACTTCGAAAACCGGTCGATGCTAATAATTTTGATTTCCCTAATAAAATATTTTCAAGGTTAAAAAACTTGTCTCTTGGATCGTCCATTGAATTGTAGATAATAAGGTAAAAAATAATGCATCTGTGTGAAACGTTGCCTATTTGTATTATGGTATTCACATTTAATTCGTTAGTGATTAACACGATAACAATTAAATTTGTGTTCTGTGTAGCGTTCCGGTATATTCAGAGCATGTACAAAGTTTGGATAGCATTATACGAAGTATAGATGACGAGCAAACGAGTTGGGGCCAACTTGTATTGGTATTATATTTCAGAATAGCCATTTTTCTTAAATTAAAATAAGTAACAAGAAATATTTTATACCAATATTAATGGTTACTAATTAATGATATGTTGTTTGACGACATTTTTTAATTGAGTTACAAGTTACTAAGGAAAAATACAAGATACTATTTTCTCTGTATCTGTTTGGTTTTTTTTTTGTAAGACTGTCTTTAAATCACTTAAATTTGTATAATTATATGTTAATATCTATTTCTAGAGATGCCTTTTGTTTAAGTTATTAAAACTTTAGGTAAACCTAAAAACCGTAAAATAAAAACTTTGTTTTGTTATTCTGCGGAAATAATAATTGCAACGAGCAAACAGCGAGGCAATTCCATTTTCCGATGAAGAAAGCCAGACACCGGGTCGTCCATTTTGCTATTTAATCATCCCTTCAACGCAATTTGTTGTCTTTATAACATGAAAATAGAACACCAAGAATAAAAACCCAATATTAACTTATTCATTGTTTGCTAGTTAAGTGTCGGCGCCAATAAAATCTAATTGTAATAAAAAATTATACCGTGTTGGTATTTTGCCCAATAAAACTTTTTTGAAGCATTAAGATGTTGTAATTACTTTTATCTATTAGCTAAGCACATATATTATTAATATCTAGTTCTAAAAGACTAGCTGTTGCTCGCTACTTCGCGTGCGTGAATTAAAAAAATATATCCAATGTTACAGATGAATTACCTTTCTGATGGTAAAAGAATTTTTAAAATCGGACCAGTAGTTTTTGAGTTATTATACTACATACAAAAATACAAATATTTCATTTCTATAATATTAGAATAGATAAAATGTAAAGCAATAAAGCTTATTAAAATATCTTCCACGGGGAACTAAAAATTCAATTTTAATGCATTTCTATTCTGGGACACTTGACAATGTCTCAGACTTTTACAGAAATAATTTATTAGCCTTTGTAAAAGTTGTTGGCGCAGCGCCATCGTCACGTTATAAAAGCTTTCAATTTTCTACAGCTTTTAAGGAATAATTTGTTCAACCAAATAGCTTAGCTGAATTTTAAAATATATTTTCACGTGTAATATATAATATTACGTTATTTTACAGTTTTTTTTACTTTACTTTCCTAATCAGTAACATTTCAATAAATTTGGAAATGCCTGATAAAATTAATTAGCAATTATTTCATATTACTTTTAAGCTATTACTAAACATGTGTGTTTAATATTAGGAGCATCGTAATATTTGTGTTTAT